TCGTATCGCGTCAATTAAAATTAATTGTAAATAAGGCTCCTGTCCCTCGCGCTACCGACACAATCGGCCCACCAATCTCTGTTTGTCTTCCTATGGGCACGCGCCACTCTCCGTGCGGGTGTACTCTTCTCGGCCTTCCACTCTCAATGATCCCTCGATTGCAAGTCATTCGATTGCCCGCGGATTTCATTAGGAGGCTAATGCTAATCTAGTGATGGTCACGTGTGTTCTTATCGAGGAAGAATGTGGCGGACACCTATTTGCAAATAATTGCCGCGTCGTTTGTGTGATTTTAACGATTGATTAGCTAATTGATACGTTTATATGCCTTGCTCAATGAGGCCTCCTTTATTTTTGCATATGCGTGGGCGAAACATAAGCTATGCTTTTAACAGAGATACGTATCATCTTAATTTTATCTCTTATCATTTACAAAATTCTTCTTTAACGTTTAATCTAAAAAAAGAATAACGAGGCCGTTGGTTTGAATTAAGCGTCTCGAGCGTCAACTTTACTGTTTTTAATTTTTAATTGGTCGCTACCTCGTGCATTAGGATACAAATGAAAGTCAAAGTCGCTGATAATGCTATCATGAATAGAACATTGGCTCAACAAGTTTATACAATTTTTTAAGCTTACGCCTTGGCAGACAGTCACTATTCCAAAATATCTAATCATTAAATCTGTCAACGGATGATAATCCGATCAACTTTTATTTCATTACTAATGCAGCTTTTCGTCATCGGAACTTGAATAACAAGCTCTAATTAATTTTAATCGGTTTTATGTGGACGATAACTCTTTTTATCCGCAGTGCCGTAACTACAAGAATTTTCAAAACACAATTATTCGAACATTACACATTAACACAAAAGTCAATTATTTGTAATACAAGTTAATAGTGCTTAAAGAGCAAATAAGTAGTAAAATTAAATAGAATTTTGCCTCGAAATTTGCCCAGCAGATGACAAATAAATTAAGGATTTGCATTTAATAAGCAAATAGTAAGATAAAAACATATATTCTGCACGAAAGGTGTTCATTCGCAATATTTGCGCACGATATACGATAATTAGGCTTCATCCGTTATGGAAGTAATTTATCAGCGCAATAATTCTTTATCATAATCCAAAAATATTGATCAGATATCAGTTGCAATTATTACGATCGTTGCTAATAACTCATTGTATATTGAGTGAAAATTCGTAGAATTTATCCATTCCGCGATTTTCTTTTCATTCTACATATGAACAAAATAAGGTCAGTACCTTTGGAAATTTCTATGAATTTGACTCTTTTCGTGTTTGTATTGACCACAAAGCCCCTTCAACTTCACACGTGTCATTGACAATTGAAATATTTCACTCTATTAACGATGATCTTATTAGAAACTATATTTTCAACAAAATCAAGTCAACGTTACGTCGGATTTGCTCAACACCTTAAATGAACATTAGAATTTAAAGATACGATATATGATTATATCTTCCATTAGTTATTATTACAATTTTTTGCGATAATAAAATGTTTTACAAAGCCAAAATATTGAGCAAGTGTCAAATATAATACTAAACGCCATATTCAATTGTATCCATATGCCATTACAATAAACAGAGAGCAGGCAAAATTAAGAGACTCTTTCTCTTTGCTCGAGCCGTAAGAAAAAGAGAAGCAAAGCTTAATCCATCGTTTCCGCCACGTTATGCAAAGACAATTAAATCTTTAAAAGGTCTTGATCGGGGATGACTTCTTTGACGCACAAGCAGCTGCTGGCAATCGGTGCAGGAAGGCGAAAAGACGAGCCGACCCGAGCCGAAACACGTGTTCGTTAACATGGCAAACACTGTGAGCATCTCCCGCCCCCGTCCACAACTAGCGCGACACGCCGGAAGAAAAGGCGCCTGCTTCTCCTCCCCCATCCCACCCCGCCATCGCCCTCATACCCTTTACTCCATAGCGCTCATTCGCGCTCGTCTTCCCAGATAAATTCCGCACAATTGATTAATTACGTGCCCCGGGTAACGCGACGAGGAAGGATTAGGACAGCTATGTCCAATTGGTTCGTTAAAACAAAAAAACAAAACAAAACAAAACAAAACAAACAAAAAAACAAAACAAAAACAAAAACACCAAGAAAAAAAAAAATAAAAAAGTGAAGAAAATAAAAAAGAATGAAACAATAATGATAGTCATAGTTATAAGTAACATAAATGAATTAAAAGAATAAAGTGAGATGTGTACGGAGACGGGGAGAGCGAGAAAATGTAGTTAAGAGAAACAGGAATGAGTGATTCAACTCTTGACGATGCCGTCTCTGCATTTCGGGTCACGGATCAACGAATGATAATTCTCGGACACGTGTGACTGCCTAAGTACTCGTGTGCCCCTCTAATCCTCAAAATCCTTCGATGCTATTTGTACAACTCGCATTAATAATATCGCCGTTGCCCGTATTTTTGTGAAACCAATGTTTATTGACACTGAGCCTAATGCGAAATTGACTGTACTCGCTTGCATTCGTCGCATATTCAATTTTCTCTCATTTCTGCATATAGCAGTAATTTTTAATTCGATTACTTAGACAATGATTTTAATTTCATTCTGCGAGTGAAATTATCATTACACATTTATTTACATTGCACCGTATAACATTTTTCTATTATTAAATACTCATTTATACAATACTAATCATCGTTTCACTTGATTTTCATAAATGTATTCATCCTTTATTTTCGACTTTAAAATAATAACATTAATTTCCGAATTCTCTATTAATATTCACATCTTCACAAAGAAAATAATCGATATAAATACAAATTTATTTGAGCTTAAATTTAAATTATAATTATAATTTGAAAATAGCTTATTTGATGAAATTATATTGTTTTGTACTGTATATGTAGATATATATATATATTTTTTTAAACAAACATTGCTTCTAAATTTAATTTAATTAAAATTATTATTACTACAACAAGAGTAATAAAATATCTTAAACGTCTATAGAGTTTTCAATCAAGAAACATGAGTTTTACAATAATGAAAATAATAATCTCGCATTTGATTTCCCATGTATAATTCTAATTGTAATTATGTAGTAAAGTGTGGCTGAGATTTAATTTTTAAGAATAACAAGAAAAACCGTTAGATATTAAACTAGATTGAACGTTTCACTTTTTGTACGATGTACTTATGGGTTTTAAGCTGCGATCAATTTAACTCGCAGCGCTAGTCGTACTGTGATGATTCAGGATTTTTAAGTACTAAACGTCATCCGTATTTGTATGACAAATATTTATCGTGAAAAATACTTGTAATTATTGATTAATATAACATATCCATTACTCTGCTAGTATTTATATGTAATAAATTTCAAGGGTCAATCGCACCATTTTTCTTATATATTAAGAAACTTCAGACAATTTATCTATCTTTCAATACTGTAATTGGATTTATTTATACTGATTAAAGATAATTATACTAATTATATGAGTATCAAGTGCTTTATTACATAAAACACTATTTTCAAACTTATTCACATAAAGGATTATTTTTCATTTAATTTTCAGTAACAAGATATATATATATATATATATATATATATATATATATATATATATATACATATATAGTTTATGTTAAAGTATCTTGAGGGTAAAATATCCAATGTAAATTAAAAATTTAGTCTCCGTATACTTATTTTACTAAATTGTTCATTATGCGAAGAACTTCGATTTCTAAAGCAGATGCATTAGCTTTTCGCAAAGTGAGAAGAGTGCATAAATAAATAAATAAATAATCTTTGCCTGTTAAATTAACTGAAAAATATTTTATATTATATACTACGCGTGAATACGTATACTACACATTCTTATTTACCAAACAGATTATACTGTTCGACCGATAGACAAGTCAAAGATTTGATTTTTTAATATATACACTCCTTAAAACATCTATCCGCCTATGCATTAATCAAAACATTATCATAATAAATCCCATAAATTCATAAACTTATTATACGATAGGTTATAAGCGATCGTTATTCTCTTTTCTCCTGTTCCCGCTACCCCGATAACACCCTTCCCCCTACCCGCGGCGACGCCGCGTCTCGTACATGCGGACGCACATGTGCGAGTTTTTCTTCTCGGCGGGCGAGTTTATATAAACTGCTGGAGTCATTCGGATCGCGTCAGTCTAGTCAGAGTTACGGGTTAGGTAAGATCCTCGACACGAGATTCCTTTCCTTCTCACTTTACTACTTTAGAATGACGCATTTCTAATTAGCGATTTTTCCGTTCGGTCAAGGCCTCGTGATACTTGCACTTGTATTCACATTATCGTTTGCCATCGCTCTCGAGTAAAAGTATCCGAGTCAATAAATTTACTTATTTATCCATCTCCTCGATTATGAATTATTAATAATTTCAAATATATTAAGAAACTCTGTTTCTCCTATTTTCGGTAAAAAAATAGCTTTTATTAAGAATTTTATCTAAAGTGCCGTATAACTTCGATACGTAATCTCGTAATTTAAGCATAAGTCCTTGATCCTCCGTATTTAATCGCGCACATAGATCTCGTAAAATTTTAGCACTGATTAAACCAATTAAGACTATTAATTTGACGTAATAATGCACTCGTAGTGGATTCGCTCAAGTAATTATAAATCTTATAATTTGCATTCACAAAGCATACAAAGACACTTTAATTATTGACAAATTCTTGACAGATTTATTAAGACATAATATTTATGCTTGTTCCAACAAAAAATATTGCAGTGTATTAAGCAAAACGCGCAAATAATACCCACCCGCAGAAGCTTTAAAATTTCTTAATATTCATTCGCATTCACATAATATTCACACGAATACGAATAAAGTTAGGTCCGTTTAATTTTAATCCATTGCCAGACGCAGAAATGATTAAAAACATATGAAAGTAACATATTCCCTGCTAGTTCAATTACTCCGCAATTATACAGTATAATGATTCTGTTACAGGGGGAGGAGAGGCAGCCGATTGTGCTGACGAGTGCAGAAGGTCCGCCCGGTGGGACGGAGCCACGTACGGTCCGACTCGTCGATGGCTCAAGTCCCCTCGAGGGTCGTTTACAGATTCTCCACAAGGGAGAATGGAGATCCGTCTGTACCAACTCGAGAAAGTGAGTATGACTTGACCGAAACGACTCGCCTGTGATCGGAGACTTTTGTCGGCGCCCAGGAGTCCGACCGTAATTGATTATCCGGGATCTCTCGCGAGTAACCTGTTCGTCGAGTCGTTAACGGAACAACGGCGCGGACCTTTGCGCAAGGAGCTAAGCCTAAGCCGCATCCCTATTTACGATCGGGTCCTTCGACTCGTATTAATTGGCTCGCTTCGATGGCTTGTTTTGCTCAGCTAGTGGATAACTCGGTATTCCAAGGAATGTCAGAAATGTATTGACGAGTTGTTGTTTGAATTTTTGAGGAAAGGCTTGGCGTTGGCGCTTCCGTGAATCCGTCGCGTATCTTTGGCCCTTTCGCTCGCATCGAATTTCCTAGTACACGAGCATTGGGACTTTCAGCATAATTTTTCAGCACTTCGTTGAATACCTGGTCTTTGTACGAAACTATTTTTGTTCTCGTCAGAAATCAAAACAAAAAATTCACACGATTTTTTATCTCACTTGTCGTAACGTAAAATCGATCTTTAAAGATGCATACGCACGTACACATATACGTACATATCCATTATATATATATATATATATATATATACGCGCGCGCTTGCACGCACATCCATACAATATTGGGTGAACAATAATCATTGGGATGAAATGTAAAAGAATTTATCATAGTTAATTTGGATAGGTGACGGAAAAATATAAATGTAGCAATTTCAATTTTAATGCTAATTTATTGGGAAAATTATAAACATTGTAGAGAATGTTTCTTGCAGCAACCTTGATAACTTAAGAATCTGTATTATCAAGTTATTCTCGTAAATAGCCTCAATATATTCTAGCGAATGACATAATTGTATTATCTGCACGTTCGCGATCTCTTATTTGTTCGGAATGAAAGGATTATGAGCGTAGCGGCCGTGCCATTTCGTGACAATTCCCACGCAATCATAACTTGCTTTCGAACGCGATTGCCCGACTTATGAAATACTTTTGGCTAGGAGACCGAGACACGGCCCCTAGAAGAGATGAGTTTTATCGGTCCGGTAGAGTCGAAGCAACGATGGAGCCGGCGCTCGCACCGCTAAATACACGAATTTTCGTATTCGCAGCTGGACCCGGGCGGACCTCGAGACGGCCTGTCGGGAGCTCGGCTTCCAGGGCGGTCGCTGGTGGGGCTGGATGGACCGGCAGTGGCCGGCGAGGCCGCGGTTGCTCTACGAGCAGCCCCAGTGCCGCGGCACCGAGTCATCGCTGCAAAGTTGCGGCCGATGGCCTTACAGGATGCTCGGTGCCGGTGTATGTGGTAAGTCATCATTAAGCAGCCTCCGTGTGTACCCGCTTCGATCAGCTCCGGCGTCTCCCTAATTAACGCGGCGGCGATCCCCTTCCTTTCAGATTACCATCCGGATCTTGGTATAGCTTGCTCTCCGTATCACGACGGTGCGACCAGCGCGATCAAGCACTGGCGGGGATTACGATTCGAGGCCGCTCTTTACGACAGGCCTCTCATTCAGGAGAATACGCTCTACGTGCGCAGGTCCAAGTCCATTCTCAAGCACGTAGAAATTCGGTGAGTCCGAGGAATGAGAAGGACGACGGCGTCGCTGGCGTCGGAGCCAAGGCCACGTCGATAAGAAACGAGATGAATTACCTTTTGCGTCTTTGCGCAGGCATGCGGGGACCGGGCGTGAATTCAACGTCACGTCGGCTTTGCACGTTGAAGGTGTCCCTCCTAGAATGGAAGCCATCTCGATTATCGGCTCGGCGTTTACCGGCATTAACGTGACCATTCCCGACGCACCAATTGTAATTTCCAACTGTACAATCCAGAGTAATAGAGGTAATGTTGCAGCATATTTACGCATTAAGTCACAATAAATCATTGATCAATAGTCCGAGGTCTTGTTTTACCATACTTTGCGATTGGATTTTTCAGCAACGCGAATGATCGTTTCGTACGTCGATTTTGCCGATTTTCATGTTTATGATGTGTTAAACAAAAATTAAAAGTAGAAAGAAACGTATCGTTTACTCTTGATCGATCGAGATACATTCCTATGAGCATCGACGATACATGACTATAATCCTATTAATCAAATTCAAATTTATATTTTTGATAATCCAACCGCTGATTAGAGGTAAGAAAGAAGTAAGTTTGATGCGTTAAGGCGATAGGTGCAATATAACGAATAAGCGTCGATCGATCAAAGTATAAATAAATACACACCGCGTGAACTTCATTACGAGAGAAATTACAATGAAGGAGAAAGTACTAATGGAAGATTCGATTATCAGGATACGGAATCTACATGAATAGCTCCACCGGCCAAGCGCATATTCATAATTGCGTAATTGTAGACAACGAGGCCGACGGCATTAAGTACGTACATCATGACGAGCGACCGGACGACAGGGCCGACCGGGCGGACGTATACGATCTCTGCACCTTCCCCAGGACGGCTAGCCAAACCTTACCCATAACCATATCGCTCGAACAGAGCAAGTATGCACCGAATCAGAAGCGTTGCCCACAGGTGAGAAATGTCTGGGTGGGATTACCCTATCTATTGTCATTCTTTTTATTTTCTCTTTAATTAATAATGGCATTAAGAGCCGTCGATTTAAGCGGTCTTTGACCTCCAAACATACAAAATACGTTTATAGGATTTTTTGCTCTTTTCCTAGACACTTTTCCTAGACACTAGATTCCTAGACACTAGAAAGATCAATGATTTTTACGTTCTAAACGATTATTTCTTAAACAAAGCTTTACTTCAATCTAATCATAAAAATTTCTATTTTAAACATTGACTTGTATATCCTGCTAGTGTACATAATTTGTTTAAAAGGGTGATGGGAAACGATGAAAGGGGGGGGGGGGAAAAAGAGAGGATTAAATTAAGTTTAACCACCTACTACGTTAAGTGAGATTTAGTGTATATATATATATATATATATTTCACAAATCATTAGAGTTGTATGTGTGAGTCTTAATGTTGAGTTAAATAATAGAGGTGATATATATATATATATATATATATATATATATATATATATATTCAGTTACTCGTACGTTTTGATGATTTGTATAAAATAAATACTGTTAAAATGAAAATTATTTTTCAGCCTAATAGCGAAAAAACGATGAAAGATTAAAGCTTAGAAGACATTCTTCATTTATCGATCTTTCTTTATCACCTTTCATTTAAACATTAATAAAGATTAAGACTTTCGATTTTCATTATAGCACATTTTCACAACGGCAGGGCATGTTCTGACCGTGCACTTTTTACAAATGAAGACTGACCGAAACGATAGTGCTGTCATAGAAGTATACGATGGGATAAGCACCGGAGAGAAATTGTTGGCACGTGTCAGTGTCAGGAATGGCACCCTACCACAAAGTGTCACTACTTCCAGAGAAAATTTGTACATTAAATTTTTTGCCGAGCCACGCACTTCCATGATTGCTTTTCTGCGTCTTACGTCGGGTTACAGTAAGTCAATGATAATTCCATTAACCGTTACACATTTCATAATGTCCATTACAATTCTTCCACAACACGAAGCTCAATTGTTTTTAAATTTTATTATTATTTTATTTATTTATTTATTTATTTATTTTTTTATTTTCGTTTGACTTACTTTCATTACAAGATATCGGTTATTGCGCGTATTGTCATTAACATAATTCTTCTTTTTATATTTTTAAGAGTTAACTATCGCGTATCATCGGCTCAAATGCATCCTTGCGATTGTCCTAGGCTTGCCCGCTCACTCGACTTATTTCATCGTTATTATACGAATGAACGCTCGCGTAGCTTTGCATTGAAATTTAACGAGCCTTTTCGAACGAGTAAAAATAAAAGTGAAATTAAGCGCGACTTTGTAAATCCATCGCTTACCACGTGCCCCCGTCGCTTCGTTCTTAGAGAAAGCCTACGACCTGAACGTTACGAGCAGCACGATAGCGGACAACAATGGTCGCGGAATAGCCGCGGAGAGGCTGCGTTCGGCCTTGCACATAGACGATACCTCGGTGTCGAACAACCGACACGTGGCCGGTGTCCACGTACTTGGTGGCGTGCCCGACGTCAACGTCACTGGTAGTCGCATCGCCTTCAACAGGGGCGACGGCATCAACATCACAGTGACCGGCGGTAGCCGCAACATCTCCCGGACGAGTATCTCGTCTAACCGAGGCTATGGCATCGCCGTCTGGCTCAACGACAGCTCCACCAGCGAGTACGTGCACTTCAATCAGACGACGGTCGTCGAGTACTCGGAGATCTTCCGCAATCACGATATTGGCATCCTAGTGAGTTAATCGCTTGGAATAGAGTAATTCATTCGTATGATCGTAATTGAGGCGACGAGGCAAGATATTATTTACATTTACTTATTATTGATATTTTCTTCATAAACTTTCAAGTCCATTAAAGGCCTCTGCTATTATTTCTTTCAATTAATCGTGGAATTATTCAATTCATAGCATTAATACAGAGAGAAATTGATGACTCCAAGCCAGAATACAATGTCCAATGCATAGTGCTGGATATCATCTTAAAGATAAATTTATTTGAAAGCCAATGGCCAACGGCCAACGGCGCAATTAATGCCACAATTAATGGCCATTTTCCAACAGGTGGGCAACGCAACCGGCAATTCTTACGTCAACATCACCGGCAATTGGTTCAACAGCAGCTCCGAGACGGCCATTCAAATAGAATCGAGCTGGCGCCACAAGCAGGGCGTCCTTAAGCTTCAGATCGGCCACAACGTATTCGTACAAAATGCGAAACTCGGCATCAAGCTCAGCCCGGCCCTCAACATCGACGGTACCATCGAGTACAATCATTTCCGTGAGCACACGTACGGCGGCATCCTCGTACGTAATCCCTTATTCGAGGAGTTCAACATACTACCGGCGGATCTACTCATTCAGCACAACGAGTTCTACGATAATCGGGGCTTCTTCGTCGCTAGCCTCGGCCTATCACCGTACAGCGATCTCCAGCGACTCCTATTCACCCGCAACTTTCTCAGGGACAATAAGGCCCGCGAGCCCTTCGACAACGGGGACGTGCAGGGCTCGCGCCTCGTTCCGCGATCGAGGGTCTCGGCGGTGGTCGTTGTCTCGTCGAGTAACGTCCACGTCTTCCGAAACATCCTGCATAATCCGGAGTCGACGTACGAGATTGGCTCGCATTTAGAGGATCAGAGCAAAATTATCAACTGCACGTACAATTGGCTGGGCTCCAGTGAGCAGTCAGAAATATTTGAGAGGCTTTTTCATAGGCACGTGTCGCCATTTTTTAATTTAAAAATTTTTATATAATGCCAATGCCATAGGTCCCGCGCGCAATTCTCTTCATATCCTTTTAATTTTTATAGTAAAGCGTCTGCTTTTTCCACATTTTGCCACATTTACACATTGCCAGGGGAAATTGATATCCACCATACGTTGTAATAATTACGCTTGACTCATCTAATTAATAAGCAATTTTTCCATTTCAGGAAGGACAGATACAACCTGGCAAAGATAGATTACATACCTTATCTATTACACAGCAGTAATCCAGCAACTTACACGATAAATCCAAATCCGACCTTCGTACCGCGCTTTCTCACACCGGGCACGAATGTCGTGGGTGGGGAAGTCGATGGCCAGGAGATTCTCCAGGCCGGCGAGTACACGGTCAAGCGCGACATAAACGTTCGCCCCGGAGGTAAACTAATTCTTCAACCGGGTGTGACGTTGCGCTTCCCCCCGGCTGTCGGCATCATGGTCGCGGGTAAGCTCGACGCGCACGGCACCGGACCAAGCAACATCCTCATGACGCTCAAGGAGGAGATCGTCATCATGTCCTCCGACAATGACACGGCCATGGACATGGACATGGACGAGATGGCCCAGCTTGAAAATAATCCCAACGTCAAGATGAGCGGACACGTTCCCGTCAGGTTACTCGGCGGCAAGACCAACCACGAGGGCAGACTGCAGGTAAGCAGTAAGACACCCCCCCCCCCTCTCCCCTCCCCCTCCCCCCATCCCTCCCTCCTTACCCACCATATTCATATTACTTCTAATTATTTATAAATTATATAGCAACGGAAGGATCGCGTACATAGAAATATTATTATTATCATCATGTACGTAACAAGCGCTTTGACACACCAGTAATAGATAGCCAATTATAAAATACCTCTTGTAATTAGTCGGAAAGTGCATTTATCATATTGTCATGACGCGCGTGATACATTGAAAGCCGACTGTAAATCAATCGAAATTGCACTTGCTTGGTCAGGTACGAGTGGGCGACAAGTGGGGCACGGTTTGCAATTACGGTTGGACGATGCTGGACGCTGCGCTAATTTGCCACCAACTGGGCTTGACCCTCGACCCCGATAACTGGTTCATGGAGCGATCGCAGATACCCAGCGCTGGGACCAACGAGGACATCATCCTCAGCAACGTCCAGTGTAACGAAGACGACGTGGATGTGTCTCGCTGCAAGGCCGAAGGCATGGACGAGTTCGAGAACTCGTGCACTCACGAGAACGATGTTGGGGTGAGGTGCACCGAGGCTGCCTGGGCTGGCTTAAGACTCGGCCCCTTGGCCCTCAGGAGTGATCTGCAATATCTCACTATCGAGAGGGCAGGCTTGTTGGATTACACAACCAGCTCGTTCAAGCCAGGTGGGTTGGTCTTTTACCATATGACCATAATAATACGGGAGGGGAGAGGGTGGTGTGTGTGTACGTGTGGGTGTTTGTGTGTGTGTGTGTGTGTGTGTGTGTGTGTGTTTGTGTGTGTGGTTGTGGGGTAGGGGGGGGGTCTTCTCGACTCCTCTTTCGTCGGAACGAAGCATTTCGAGCAGAATTTATGCTCATGCTTTTATTGTCTTTATTTCCAAAAATTTTGCTCCTTTTCACTGTGTTTTCCAAACTCCAATAATTATAATTAACAATCATCTGTTGAATAAATTTTTTTATTTTTTGTTTTTATTCATAATCGAAAGTAATTACATATTATTCAGCAATCTCACTCTTGACAGAATAATGCATAAAAATTGAAAATTTGTTTAACATAACACAACTATACTCGTAATAAGAATAAAAAATTGTTTTGCATAAGCTCCAGCTTGTAAATAGAAATTTGATGTAAATTTGTCATGGTCATATTAGCATTTAGACGAGCATTGAAAATATCATAAAAGCGAGTAGTCCTTTTTTTCTTATTGGCGAACGATAGAATAATGTATAAGGATATGTTATAGAATAATATTCGATAGAAAGCCGCAGACGACAAGTAATTTGCCATTATTTTTAAACTATATTTTGTATTTGTTTAATATTAAAAAAATGAGCCTCCATATAGACGCTAAAGATTATAAATAATCTAACGATGTATCAATTTGTCGGACACGCGCAGCTCTGCAGATAGATTTTGCCCGACACTCTCTGGAAGGGGTTAAGGTGATAAATAACCTTCAGGATGGCCTGGGCATCCTGTATTCTGATATCTATTCGGCGGACGCCGTCAACACTGTGCGCAACAGCGACTTTTCCAATAACCGCGGCAGCGGCATAAGTTTCAAGCAGCTGGGACTGCGCATCTCGAGCTCGCGCTTGGAGAATAACAAAATCGCCGGCATCAGGCACAACCCCGCCTTTTCGGCGGTACAACAACGGGAGTTCGCGGGCTGGTTCATAAGCTCACCAGACACCTCCTTGGATTCGAGTTACGATCCCATAATAGTGCCAAGCCACGGTTCCGACATCGAACTCTCGATGGGCGAGACCAAGTACCTCGTCACCTCCAAGGTGTATGGCGAGGCCATCGACCGCTACCATCACGTTCGAGTGAGTCATTTTATTCGATTGTTTTTTTCGAGCTCTTACAGCGTAACCGCCATGCCTCCATTCCTGCGAATTCCATTCGCGATTGTACAATGGAAGTGTCACAAATTAATTTTTATATATATATATATATATATATATATATATATATATATATATATATAGACAAATAGTGTAATCCTAGAGTTCGGCATACCCTCGTGATAAAGAATGTTTAGCTAACGATTACATGAATCTAGTAACGTTAATCCCATTATGTTAATTAATCGATTATGTTATCGATTAATTTTATTGCATTGCCGCCAATATAATAGCGCAAATTACACGTCTACGTTCTTTTTATACACTTTCTTGGAAATTATATTGAATTCATTATATAATTGATGTCACATTTTCAAATTTCAGTGTACACCCGGATATGTTGTTGGTATCCAGCTATTAAATCCCATACAGAATAGAAGTACCGAGCGAATAATTTTACATGATTCACAAAATATTAAACACCCTGGAAACTCCTGGCATGTAAAGAGAGATCTTACGGTATTTCCGGTTGCCTCCAGTTCGTACATTGTTGTGTTCGAGTATCACAGCGGCGAGAATGCATTGGGTGGAACCGTCATTGTGCTCACTGCACTTCCAGCACCCATTCAGGTAGCCCTTCCGTATTATTATTACCTATACGTTTTTATTCGTATTTTTCACTTTTTTTTTTCTTTCGTTTTTTCGTTCTTTCTTTTATCTCTTTATCGTATTATTTTTTACCTTTTATTTTCTGGTTCGATAATATCTCTATTTATTTACTTTAATCGCCTGCAATGTATAATCAATTAAGGTTGACCATTGTATCGTTATGTGGAATAATATAAACAATCTTTTTTGAGTTGCACGTGCATGATTAAGAACGAAGTGAAATGCGACTCTCTTGACAATCTCGAGGCGCATATTTATCGTATCCTCTGACGTATGAATTAATAAATTAGAATACGGAAGAAGAGCTTGAAATTTAATCGTAAAATATATTTTGCAGGATATAAAGAATCGAATAGTTCGCGGGCCGATTCCGACTCTTCGAGTATCGAATACGAAAATTCGCGGAAATCGGCGAGGAATCCTCGCCTCGTATTATAATCGCTATCTGGACGAATGCGGCGATCACTACCTTCGTAAAGCCAACGAATCTTTACAATTTATTAATTGCGAGATATCCCATAATTACGAGGAAGCAATCTACGTTCATTCGCCCCATTGGAACGTTTTCAATTCCAACATTTCCGAAATAGCAATACATATAAACAACAGGTAAGATCTTTGACATTAATTAATTATCTCCCTTTGAGTGTGTTATAAAGCGAAAAGGGCTGCTATTAACGTAGCCTTATTTTTAATTACCATAAGTCCGTCAATATATCATCGCCATGCTTAAAAAAGTCTCTATGTCCTCTACGATATTTACAGTCTCATAACCGATAACGGCCGGGGAATGATCCAGTACAGTCGGGACATGCGTCAATCCAACAACCTGTTCCACTGGATCGTGAAGGACAGCACGATCGAGCGGAACCAGGGTGGTGGCTTCGAGATCGCATTACCTTACGTCTGGCAGTATAACGAGAATTTCACCCACTCGATCTACATGGACAACAACACGTGGCAGGCGAACGAGCAATTCGCCTTCGTCGTCGACGGACATTACGCGAGCTTCAACATGTCGCGCAACCGCTTCGACGGCAACCGCTGCAAAACCGGCCTTATATCCATTCGCGGTATGGAGAAACGCATGAGGATCGAGGCGAACAGTATCGAGCACAACGTCGGGGCGTTCATGCTGGAGTTCAGAGCCGACAGCCAGTCGGAGATTCTCGGTGAAATTGACGCGAGATTCATGTACAACGAGGTCAAGCAGAACAGTCGTGGCGCTGTCGCCAGTCGTGGCATACATCAGATGTTCGACACACCGACCTATGTCGTGGGTTTTAACGGTATCCAGAAAGTGCGCGTGAACAGAAATTTATTTGGCGAAAATTCTCTGGATTACGAGCTACTTGCGGGCATAAGAACCGCTAAAATTAATAACAAGGTCGACGTGTCAGAAAATTGGTGGGGCACTGCCGAAGATCTTCAGATCAGGTGAGCTAAAAACAATCGTTGACTTCATTGGAGAGCAGAGGGCAGACATTTGAGCATTTACAGTCTCTCGTGACTATATAATTACGAAGTGAGATATAAGCGAGATGTTTGTCGGAGATGACTCGTGACTCAGTCAAAATTGCATTAGTTGACAATGATAAGCAAAGAACCCATTAGTTAAATGGTATCTTTCAAGAAAGATATTTATAACATAATTAATTACCACGATGTTAGAATTCTTTAAGCGTCTCCTGACCATTAATACGAAATTTAAAACAAGTTTCGTTAATTTTATTTGTTAACTCATAAAGAAACACTACTATTATTGTGTTAGTGAAATTCCGCGCTCTTAAGAATAAAATGTGACTGTTGAATTTTTACTTTTCAGGCAACGAATTTTCGATTTCGACGACTGGAACGACCACGCCGTGGCGGATTTCCGCCCATACTTAACGACTGATTCTCTAGATTCCTCGATATCTGCATCTTGGGAGCCCATAACCGAGATAGATTTAAATAATCTCGGAGGACGTATCCTTGACAATCTATCCCTTTACTCGAGACCACAACCGTACGTCATTCGCTCCGACATAACTGTCATGCCCGACGCCACACTACACATATATCCGGACGTCGTTATGGAATTTGCTCCGAACGTTGGTATTCTCGTACTGGGTACCCTGAAAGCCATCGGTGCACCCGATCACGAGATCATCATGCGGCCGATCCAAGAGAAAAACGATAAACCCATTACTCGGAAGAGGAGTGCAAATTCTGAAACTATTAGATTGTGCAAAGAGGAGAATTGCACCAATGCTACAAATGAAGGTGAATTTTTTTTTTATTTTTTTTTAACAAAGTTTCTTAAAATAATCGCGATTAATTGCCATTTCCATTGCAGCATTAAATGTTTAATTAAGCTTTACTATTTTAAATACCTTTTCAATTCTACTAATAAATATTCTTATTAATTTGAATCAAATTAGTTTTAAGCATAAATAGTGTATTTTGCATATATATATATATATCCTTTTAATCCATTCGCTACTCACTCAAATTAATTAATATAGTAGAATATGTAGAATCTCATGTTATAAAGATTAAATAATAACTGTATATATATAGTATTCCGTACTTCAATTCAAAATTAAAACTATTATACAGAAAAGAAAAAAATCTTATGATTCATTCCTACACCATTGCATTAAATTTATTGTCCCAAATTATCGACAAGCTACGTCTGCTCTCTCATTTTCAGGATTCTTGGAGTATTTTAATCGAACAACTCTGCAATGGATACCGCTTTGCGATAAACGTTTCACCGAACGGAATGCACAAGTGGCCTGTCGTCAATTAGGCTACGAACCATTAAACGTTTACGTTTCAAGGGACCGACGATACGAATTGCACCCTGGATCCCTATCCAGAATATGGTCCTGGTCCGAACCTCTGCAGGTACTGTCTATAGAAAAAATTTTATGTTTACTAGGGAATGGCCAATACCTTCAATATTCTCTTTAAAGTCGCCAAATTGTATTATTGCTCCTTTACAATCGAATTATTATAATAGAAATGCATGTTTACGAATGTTTTATAGGCAATAATTGTATATTAGCCAAGCAATAGAAAGCAATAGTATTTTAAATAGAAATAACAATTTATTTACCTTCTTACTTTTTGTCAAAATATAATGACGATATTCAAGAGTCTTAAAAATGAGGTTTCGATGAGAAGTTTTTTCGTTACAGAAACGAGACAGAAACATATAATCGCTACAAAAAACCTGCGTTCGAATTAAAACCCTAACATCAATATCATTATACAATATGTAAAAGTAAATATTGAAATATTAATTAGAATAATATTGGAAATTTAGTGCACCGGAAAGGAGGAGATTTTGGAAGACTGCCAGATTCGATTGAACGGCCAATTGTTCGGTCAGCGCTACGAATGTCCTTGGGACGGGAAATTTGTATTTCTGCATTGTGGTCAGCGAAATCTCGACTCGTCGCTCAATTATTGGGGCGGCATACGCATTGCCAATAGCGAGTTCGAGCATTACCTGTATGAGTATCGTATTCACGACGTCGTGACTCACGAGACCGTTCGACGGGTTGAGTCAGTGGTCAAATATGTGAATATCACAGGCGCCGGAATATTGCACAACGAAAGGTCAGCGGCTATTCAGTCGATCATAAAGTCACCCAGCGTAACCCGCGTGAACATTGATCGAAGCGCTTATCATGGCATCAACGTTATATCGCCGACGCATACGGTAAAAAGAATTATCTTACATTACACTTTTTTTTTATCTATGGTTTCCTAAAGGATAGATTATGACTAAGCGATTGTATGTCATAATCACAAATAAAACATTTATTAATGCAGTAACTGAATAAGTATATCAAACAATTTAACATATTTTTTATAAATGAATAAACTTTTATTAGAGAATTTATAAAGTCTTAATTTGAGATTTGTTTAACGTATTAAAATGAATAAAGAGCCTTTTGAAATTTAATCCTCTTGTGACAAATAATCAGTATGTGTGCATACCTAGCTTTTGCTCTGACACGAGATAAATTGTTAAAGATTTTAGATTTTAGAATTATTTTATCATAAAAAATTGATCATGAAAAATATCCAAATGCCGTGATTTTTTTTTTTTTTTTATCAATTAATATATAATTACAGAGATATAAGGAAATTGTATTGTTTTTGTTGATTTGATCGTTTAGGTTGAATTACTGTTCAATCAAGTTAACAATGTGCTCGGAAATGGTATCAATATTTTATCACTGACGGGAGAAGGCCGTGAGGCCGACGAGAGCTCATTCACTCCCTTGAAAGATTTAAATATTCCATACCATTTATTTAGCATCGTTGATATCTGTGATACTACCAAAGAAGTCACAATAGAAGAGCGTGTACTATTGTATTACAAGTATGACAACAACCCGGTGAACTGTGTGAAGATCTTTCGTAGTAATCATCGCGCCAAGCCCTTTGGTTTTCGGTAAATGATTTTAGCATAAATTTATTAACATAAATACAGCACTGTAACTTTCATATGTTTGAAATGGAGGATTACATTGTGCCGTGATTTTTAATAATTGATTGACATATCGTTTTATTCGTTTTTAGTCTTTTACAATTCAATTTGTTTAATTCCACTGGCAAGCCAGGCAGGATGGATAGCTTGACGCTTTACGACGGTGATATTTACAATGTGACGGTTAAAAAGATCGACGAACTCTATGTCAACAATCACATTGAAAAGAAACTATTTAAAACACAAGGACCAAGTTTAAGTGTGAAGCTTTTCGCAACTGGCGCAAGTAATGTTCACGGATTCATTGCTGAAGTTGTCACATTGCCTATATCGGCAATAGGATTTAGTAAGTTTTTTTTTATTTTTTTATTTTTATTTTTTATTTATTTCTCATGTAAATCATCAAATCATTAAACAGTTATGAATTGAACGTTAAAATTGTTTTCCATTTTGCGGTGCGTTCGAGGTATTTAAGAAGCAAATTTTTTCTTTTCAGATCGCGACGTACAGCACAATATATCTTATTCCGTGATTTCGAAGTGTCAAGAAGACGCGGTAAAGTATTCCAGTGCTGGCGAAGTAAATGCTGTGATTACATTAGAAAGAAATCAATTTATTAATAATTGTGAAAAACTATATGGAAACTTCAGTACGTGCAAGTCTGCAGTTTCGATCGACATTCAAAATACTCAATCTATTTATTTCAGAGTAAGCTCTCAGTTCATTTGTTCATAAGCCTAACGAACGCAAATAAATTATTCTAATTAGATCCATTTTATAAGTGTTAGATGAGTTTATCCATCGTTAGGGCTTTAACTAGTCATATATTTATAAATATTTTCATATTCTTTTATTTTGTTTCAAGAATAATTTGGTCATGAGAAATCAAGGAGGACTGAAAATTAGAGCAGACTCTCGCGGTTCTGCAACTTCTCTCAAAGGCTGGATTCATAACAATCTGTTTGTAGAAAATTTCGATAATCCAGTATTGTACATATCCTTAATTATACAAATAGTCATACCATTAATGAAAGCCATGTAATTTATTGTATCAATTTTCTTCGTTGAAGGTACGTTGAAGGCCGACAAAGTAGTCCTTATCAAGAAGTAACGATATTTAGAAATTATTTTACCAAGAACAATGCATCTTACGAGAACAACATTATTTTAAAGCAAGTCGTCAGTAATATGACCTTGAATTACTTGCATGGAAATTTAGGAAAACACTTATTAGAAATTTCCGGTTTCGAACGGGTCCGACTTCCAATATACCAAAGCACGTCCCACAATGGATTTTACAAGTATGATATAAATCGATTGATTATTATATTATATATATATATATATATATATATATATATATATATATATATATATATATTAATACTAATAATTATTTTACTAAAATATCACTTTTAGAAATTACGCTTTAGATCGCGATGGACGAAGTACAATAGTTGCGGGAACTCCAGGTCAACAATATGTAGACAATATTTTCTTTAATCCTGACAACGATTATGAAATGCTTACAATCAATAGATCGCTGTGAGTATATTATTTTATTTAACGATATTAGTGATTATTAATATTTATAGTTCATTAAATTGACACTTGGTTATTAAAAGAAAACAATATAATACGAGCCTTTTTAGATCTATTGTAGAATAATTTTATATACTTCTTTATTTTAAGGATGCATTTTTGTTGTTGTTTTTTTTTTTTTTTGTTAATTTATCGAATTATTTTTCCTTTCATATTACAAATTCACACACACGTTATAAAAATATCAGCGTGGTCGACTCGGAATGGTATGCTAAGTAAGTACGCGACTATTGTTTGTCGTGATTTTTTATGTGCAATTGCTTTGTTACAAAAGTGTCCAGCAAAGCGAAATGCTGAAATTGTATTATTCTATTAAAATTGCAAATAATAGAAATTTTATTCTCAATAATTATTATATACATTAGAAATCTAAATTTTACGCACATTTAATATTTTCTTTTCTTTTTATCTCTTCAAGTAATAATTTTTGTTGTATAGTGTTTTTGTCTTGTATTATTTCATATTTTATAATAAATAGATATTTTATTAGAAGTATACGTCATACACATAATGCTAACAAGATCTGACGGTAAAATCTTAATTTTACTTAGAGGTCTCTATGTACTATTTGTAATTTACGTTTTATTTCTAATTGTCAAATAATTCAATAACAGTTACTCAGGTCGTAACTTCAAATATTATAATAACAATTTCATCCAAAGACACGTTCTTTTCATTTATACCATTGGGTGAACAATTT